CCCTTATCACGTCTCGAGAAGGAGAATAAATATTCTAGTAAGCGCCTACCTACTGGAGATTTGCCTAAACCAAGAAACAGCGATAGTTTTCCTCCGCTACCAGACTTCAGTTTGCCAAGTTCAGAAATAGGTTAACATTTTTCATTATTTTATAATTTAGCGATTTAAAATTTTGGATAGTGATGTTTCTACTTATCATATATCCCATGGCTAGTAGTCAATACACGTCGAATTAATAAAAAATTTTGATGTCTATAGAAAATTAGAATTGATACACAATGTATGTTGATGCAGAGCCGTGGTAGTAGTTTTTCTTTGAGATTGATGTTAACTAACGTCGATTTTAAACCATAAATTATCTGTAATAGTAAGGGTAACCATACGCAGTTTTAACAATGGATCTCCGCACCATATATTCGTTATAGCCAATCTGAAACTTTTCCCGACATTTTATATAGTCCATTTGTGTTATAATCGACAGAATATGCTTTACGATTATTTGGATGTCACAAGATTAAAGTTATAAACCATTAAATATGTTTCCTCCGTAGTTATTGTTCTTGATGTAGTAGAAGTGCGAATATGAGAAGGCTATTCATATGAACTTTTGCAGCTCCCAACTGGAATGTGTAATTGATGCTATATATTAGGATATACCTACTCACGAAACGAATAGTTATGTCTCTTAGTGCAACATAGATGTTAAGACACACTCTACCTAATAGAAAATCATATTAAGACAATACGCTTATGGGACACCAATTAAGCACGTCATACATGATAATCGGCGGAGATCTTTCGATATGATTGAGCGTTATTTAACAGTGGAGAAATACGTATGCTCAATGAATACTTAATTCTGAACCACTCGCATTTACTTCAACAGGTGATAACTGTTACTCCTGCAAAGTTGAAGCACTCTAGTCTGAATTAGTCACGGCTTAGTATGAAGCCTTTCTCGAAAATTACGCGATTTAATAATGTTAATATAATTTGCTTCGCGTTTCTTCGATCAACTGATTTCATTTGGTGGCGACAGTTGGTCATTATTCTGTCTATTCTTTATCGAGACGATGTTTCGCTTTAAATAGTTAGCATCATGAAGTAAAGTGCTGTACTATTTTTCCCTATTCGATTCATTCCATTGATTCCATTAAACTTCCATTTCGACAGGAGCGTAGTTAAGTACTAGTACCCTAAGACCAATATTATTGTACAAAATCTTGATTCAATATCAGAAAGAAATGACCTTACTTTTTTATAACAGGTTCTGCAAAGGACAGGCAAATCATACATCGCCACCGACTACTTAACGCAAACAAAATTGTCTTCTCGTAGGCGGTTCAATCATACATTCAGCTATACGGATCCACCGACAAAAGCTGGAAATCAAACTCTGACAAGTTCAATGGTTAATTAGCTAAATCAAAACTCTTGATGAAATCTTAACGGTCTCAGTTTCTCTATTTGCTTTCTTTCAAACTATTTGCATCGCTCTACAACAAACAGCACTCAAGTGTTTGGAAGAATAAATGTTATTTAGCATAATACTTCTCACATAAGCCTCCAACAAAGTTGGATTATCTTCTTTCTCTATTCTCTCTCTCTGTTTTTTAGTAAGGTCTATGTATCAGTCTTTTTTTTCTTCTAAATAAAGGCTTCTTAGCCTTTTAAGTTTCCTATTTTCGTCAACCGAATGTCATAAAGCAATAGTTTAATTGCTATCCAATAGTTTATCTTATCACCATTACTTGCACTTACTTGGCATGCTATGGGCTAAATTCTGTTTCAATTCCATCCAATTCTTTTCGAGCTATATAAGACTGCTAATTGAGTTACTGGGCTATTAAACGGCTAATCCATAATTTTGGGCACCCGTTGTATGAGAAATCCGGATCGTTGCCTTGCTAGAACGTCGATTCTTTCCATTCTTTCTCATAACAATAACGCCATTTGCATTATCAAAGAGATTTTCAGTTAAAATCTTATGGTAAGATATACCACAGTATTCATAATATCTGTGACGATGCATTTTATTCTCATTACTTTGCGCGCCCTATAAGTCTAGGGTATCAGCAATAAAATACTACCGTTCATGTATGGAATAACACACTACTGGGTATCTCGCTACACGTCTTCTATGCACCAGACGTAACCAGCATCACGCACTCAATTTCCTCTTCAGAATTTGTCGGTACATAAAACGTAAGGCACGTTGTTACCGAATGTCACATTAATTCATGTTTCGCTTACATATACACATCATTAATGATTCCATAATAAATAAATCCAAAGACTTGTTGCCCATAGTTCAATTAAGAGGTCGAGGTGCTTTACACTGATAACAGAATGCATTTATCTCTGGTGGTACATGCCAGACATAATCCTCAGCTTTTAGTAGACAATACTTTTGTTTGCGTGTATCATATGTAAATCCAAACATTACTCTAGATCAAATATACTATAATAAGAAGAACATAGCTCATAATTAGTTCTATTAAGTAAGAGTGCGAGTAGACTATTAAGACAATTAACCGGAACAGGTATTAAAACTGCCTGAGCAAATGGAAGAATTCTAAACCACTCAGACCAACTAGTGACGGATATATAAAATATA